CTCTCTCTCTCTCTCTCTCTGTAACCCCCTCTTGACTTGCTGGCCTGTCGCCCAGGCTGCTGCTATGCTTCATGAGCTGCACCACGCTGCTGTCCATGTGGCTGTCCAATACGTCCACCACCGCCATGGTCATGCCCATCGTGGAAGCTGTGCTGCAGGAGCTGGTGGGCACCGAGGAGGAGCAGCTCGCAGCCGAGAGCACCAGCGCCGAGGAAGCCGAGCCTATCAGTACTGTCTTCAACTCTAGGCCTTGTGCCCACAGCCCCCACCCCACCCACCCTTCCCCTCCTTCTTTCTCATCTCCATCCTGGAACAGCCCTGTCACCAAACCCTGCCTCAGACCCCCTTCCCAACTCCCCACCCTCCCTCACTTTTCAACACCACCACTGCTCCGGTGTTTCCACAAAGCCCTGGCTCTGTCTATGCTCATCTCCAGAGCCGAGGGGAGGGGCAGGCCCATTGGCGAGCCCTCAGCAAGTCTTCATACACTGCTTCTTATCCTCCCCACAGCCCCGAGCCCCAGCCCTTCTCCCCAACTCTGTGTCTCCTCCCTCCCTCACTCCCCACTTCCCTTTGCTGCTGTAGGTCTGGATGAAAACAACCAGCCTTCTCTGGAGCTCATCTTTGTCAATGAAGAGTGAGTATGTCCCCCTCCCACAAAGAGTCTCCTGGGATCCACTAGAGAAGTCCGAAAAGATGGCACCCAAACTCATAAATGACGCTTTCAGATGGATGGATCACGATCTCCGTCTTTCCACCCCACCACTCCCTCCAATCTTCTCTAGCCCTGGGAGCCACTGGCCAAGATCTGAGGGTGGCTCCCTAAACCCCAAGATATAGCCGTGACAAGGAAGGGGACACATGAATTACCCAGGCATCTGCCAAATAGAACTGATGTCCTTCTTAGGGAAATAACACCTTTAGTGCATTAATCAAGAAATGCCCACTCAATAAATGTTACTGGAAAGGTGTTGAGGACCACAAGGAATTTTCTAGATGATACATGTGTGCTTACAGCATGTGGTCTTCTTAGGTGTGGTGAAGAAAAATGGAGTGACAGAAATTTGAGACCAACCAGTGAGAAAGAAACTCCTGGGAGAGGGGAGCTGTAGGCCCAATATTGCTGTGAAGTGCAGCCATTAACGCTCACTTCCGAGGGAGAATCTACGTCAACATATGGCCTGCAAGGTTTTCCACGGACAGTATTACACATGGAAAAGTTGGATTTTACACTTACTCAGTTTTACACTTTGCCCTTTTCATGAAAAGTAGAGATCCGAGTTGAGTGCATCAAGCATGAACAATGGGCTGACCCCAGTGTGAGGCTGATGGGACCTGACTTTCCCCACTGCTGCCTTCAAGCAAAGTGTGTAACGTTTCCCTCCCACCTCGTGGTTCTTCGTGGGGTTAGCACGATCTGCCTTGCAGACACATCCGCTCAGTCCCGACTGCTGTCAAGCCTTCGGTCTACCATCTAGTCGTCCTCTCCACGGCTGCCTGTCCGCTCCCTGCCCCAAACCCAGGCCTGCAGCCCCAGAGGGTGGACAGAAGTGGGGAAGGGAATGAACTCTTCCTCCGCACCCTGCCTGCTGCTGACTTCTCCAGCATGAGGGTTGACTGTGGGTAGCAGAAAAGCAGTATCATCTGGCGTTAGTGTTCCTGAGTCTGGCTTTCAGACCACAGCGCCTTCACTAGGGGGGCACCTGCCATCAGGATTCCATGGGATCCCCCTTGAGGAGAACACACTACGTTTGTGATCTCTCTAGAATGTTCTGTGTTCAGGCGGTTGACCTCTCAGTCTCTTTGTACTAGGGATGCTCTGCCTCTGAGGCAGGGCCTTCCAGGATGACTGCTCTCACTGGCTTTTCTCCTCTCACTGTCCTCTCAGCCTGATGTGTCCCTGAACTCCAAAGGAAGCGGCTTGAGTTCTCCCTGGAGCTCTCATCACCCTTCATGCTGGGAGGTGGTTAGCTGTTTGGGAATGTGGTGCTCTTCTCACACATACTGTCTCAGGAGTTTGAGGAGGAGAGAGTGGAAATTTTACAGCAGTCTCCTTCCAGACAAGAACTTCTTCTGAAGAACTGATCCCTCTGAAGTGCATCAGCTTCTTATTTTCCCCTGACAAAGCTTTGGCAGTGGGGCAAAGGTTAAGGCTTCAAGTTTAACCCCCTCACTTGTCTTTAGAAAGTGTGTGTTCCTCATACACACTGTCCTTAGGATGAAGACAAAACAGGAAGCATTCACGGAACATTTCTTCTTAGTACTTCTGGTAGTCAGATTCTCTTCATCCTTGTACTCAGGGCAAATGCAAGGGACCGACAGCTAGTGGGGCCAATTATCTGTCACCTCCTAAGGTAAAGTTGCCCATGAGAAATCCTTCCTGCATTCTTGTTCTCCTTTGACTTCCACCTTCCGTCCTCTGTCTCCTGAGAGAAGCACTTCCTGGGTTTCTCCTTCTTTGAGAGATGATGAGTCCCTTCAGCCAGGAAGGCTTCTGTGGGCCCCTCTCCTGCCCTCCTGTGTCCCTGACACAGCCTCCCCTCATCCTGTGAACAGGGCCTCCACACATCCACCTCATACTGCCTGGAGGACTGTGTCGTGAGGGCTAAAGACCCGAATTAGGTCCCCAGCACCCCTAGCTGTAAAGGCGCTGTTGTTACTTCAGTGAATGCCGCCTCCACCCCAGGAGACAACCCAGCTCCCTCAGTCCTTTTAGAAGCTCAGAAAGCACAGAAGAATCCGCTTGGTCAGCCTTTTCTCTAGGCCAGAAAGCAGGAGTCTATAAAAGCTAAACCACTTCTCGTCCACTGACATGTGTGAGGTGTGGGTGGGATTCATGGGGCTGATTGTCCTCTCCTCTGCTTCCTTCCAGAACCTCCACAGCCAGCATCACTTCTCAGGTGAACAAGGTAAGGCCTGGGGCTTCTCAGGGACTTTGGGACCATTAGGAAGTCCTTTTAGGTTCCTTTGGGTTAGTCATGTGACCCCTATGGGCAAGATCACCAACCAAAGTTTTCTCTTGATCCTTCAGCCCAAACTCAGCAGGCCCCCATAGGCCTCAGCAAGTGTCACGCAGCTCAGAACCTGCATCATGAGGGCAGTGGGCTCCCCAGAGCCTGTGTGTCCCTCACTTAGCCTGAGGGCCATTTCAGCCCCAAGAGCCCAGGCTGCTGTCCTTCCGAAACCATACTTGGATGTCCACACAGATGGGAGCGTGGAGCCAGCCTAGGATTCCTCTTAGAGGGAATTCTACTGACAAAACCAACCGTAAAATGGGCACCTTTGAGAGGAAACCAGAGTTCACACTGCTCTCACCGCACTCCACGTTCCACACCCCACATCCCACATCCAAGTTGGTTTCCCGTCTCTTCAGGGGGGGACAAAGGCCAATGAAACAGGCCCTGTGTGTTGTGATAGTTTTAATTTAGGGAGTATTAAATGGAAATCAAGTGTTCTCCCTTAGCTCATGAAATGCCAGCCAGCCAGTCTCTTCTGTCAGGACAGGTTCTATTCGGGGCCCCTGTGAAGATGGCCACAGGAGCCCCAGATGCCAGCACACGCCCCCCTGACTCTGACTCAGAGCTGAGGTGTGGGGTGGCACAAGAGTGGTATGTGACATATCCCAGGCCACTCCCCACATCCTCTTTCTGATGCCATGCTGGGAATCTTTGTCTCCACAGAACCTGAATGGTGTGCCCACGATCACCAGCCCTATACCTGCAGCAGCCCCTCAGGGCCAGAAGCCACCCTCGCCTCAGGTAATGGGACTTTGAGTCAGCTCCTTGCCATTGTGGGGGCCCAGGCTGGATCAGGGAGCACTAGTGTGGAGAGCATGTGCCCTGAAGATTCAGCACCCCGTTTCCACCTGCTGGGCTTCCAGACCTCATCTGTAAAGGCCAAGGTGTGATAGAGGTCACAGTTTCCATCCTACCCCTCAAAGGAGCTTCAGGGACAGACACTGCAGATCCTGGGGCATCCTGAGACCAGAGGACTGTGGATGAGCACAAGAGGGACTCCCTGGTACTGTCCACGGCATGTAGTACTATAGGTGTCGGACTGTCAGCCTAAAGGTCTGTGATTCAAATTTCCCGCTTATCATGAGTCAGTAGTGAGAGAGAAGGCATTCACACACATGGAATGATACACTTTCCTCTTGTGTGGGGCTTATTCCACAGAGCCTGACTTCTTCAAGGGTCACACACATTGCAGTGTGTGTTTGAGCCTCATTTCTTGTTACAGCTGGGTAACACCCTATTACACAAATCTCTCTCTCTATTTAACTCGCATTGTTGTCGAGTCGGAACCGACTCACCTCTGACCCTGCATCAGATTCCCTTTCACACGAGATTGATTGCCCGTCTTTCCACAGCCGCTGGGGGCTTTGAACTGCTGGAGAGGCACAGCCTTCCAGTAAGCAGCCAACTCCATAGGGACTGCGCCACCAGAGCTCCTACAGGAGCGGCAGAACCCTCGCTGTCCATTCGCTCATCTGCCGATGGACTCGGGTGGCTCCCACCTAAGGCGATTGTTACTTCATCTGTTCTCACAACAGCCAGGGAAGGAGGTGCTCTTTCCCCAGTTTATGGAAGAAACAGATGCACACAGGTGTGCTCACATTGGTGCCTGGCAGAACGCGAGCTGGCAGTTCATCTTTCGGCACTGCTGCCCCATCCACACTGGGCGCCAGTGGCCAGGCTGGGCGCCAGTGTCCACGCTGGGTGCCAGGGGCCAGGCTGAGCGCCAGTGTCCACGCTGGGCGCCAGGGGCCAGGCTGGGTGCCAGTGTCCACGCTGGGCGCCAGTGTCCACCCTGGGCGCCAGTGGCCAGGCTGGGCGTCAGTGTCCACGCTGGGCACCAGGGGCCAGGCTGGGCTCAGTCGCTGTTCTCCCACAGGAGCAGCGGCTTGTCCTGAGCCACGGCCCCCGGACCCAGGAGCTGAGCAAGAAGTACAGGTCCCAGCATGACCAGATGATCTGCAAGTGCCTGTCCCTGAGCATCTCCTATGCAGCCACCATCGGGGGTCTGACCACCATCATCGGCACCTCCACCAGCCTCATCTTCCTGGAGCACTTCAACAAGTAGGTCCTGCGCGCTGCCTGCCAGCTTCGTTTAACTTGATGTCATGATGGTGTTGTAGTTGTTGTTGTTGTTAGGTGCCATCGAGTCGAGTATAACACATAGTGACCCTATAGAACCCTGTCCTGTCCTGTGCCGTCCTCACAATCACTGGCACACATGAGCCTATTGGAGCAGTCGCTGTCAATACACGTGGTTAAGGGTCTTCCTCTCTTTCACTGACCCCTCCACCTTCCTAAGCATGAAGTCCTTCTCCAAGGAATAGCCTCTCTGAGCAACATGTCCAAAGTAGGTGAGATGAAGCTTTATCACCTTTGCTTCCAAGAAGCACTCTGGCTGCACCTTCTCCAAGACATCCAAGGCATATCTGTTTGTTCTTTATGTAAACTTTCTATTGGTTTGCATGTAATCATTCATATACATTGTGTTTTATACATGTACTTCAAGTTTTATACAATCATTCATATTCTTTATGTTTTATATCTAATTACCGCTGCTCTGTGCCTGTTATCCCCTATCCTTCCATCCACCATTGAACCTTTCCCATTACTTCACCCCCCTTCATCCACTAACCTTTGCTGTCCCCGTGATCTTCCCCCTTCTCTTTTCCCATCTTCTCTTTTCCTTTCCGTTTTAAACATTTATCCCTCTTTTTCTCAGTTATCCTCCTATTTTCACAGTAGTGAACACAGTATATGTTCTTTTGTGACTGAAATAGTTCACTCAGCAAAATGCTCTCCAGTCTCTCCCAGTATATACTATTTTACAAAACCATTGCTCCTGAGTGCTGCATAGTATTCCATTGTGTGAATATACCGCAATTTCTCCATCCATTAGTCTGTTGATGAGCATTTGGGCTGCTTCTGTGTTCTTGCTATTGTGAATAATGCTGCTATGAACATAGGTGTACCTCTGTTTGTTCTTTTGGCAGCCCAGAAAAAATTGGTTTCCCATTGAATCATTTTGTACACATTCTCCTTTCTGACAATGATGGCAAATTTCCATATTATACTAGAACTTTCCCTACTTCCTCCCTGTGAGTCTTGTCTCCATTCATCCTTCTCTCATACTCCTTCCTGCCTTCTGAGCGCTCTCTCATACTGTTGTCAAGTCAGAACCAACTCATATCTAACTCTCTATGGGGTTTTTAAGGTCAGTCATAGAAAAGGGGATTGTCCATCTTCTTCCCACGGAGCTCCTGGAGGATTTGAACTGCCAGAGAAGTGCAGTCTTTGAATTAGCAGCAGTCACCTGAAGACTGGCCACTAGGGTTCTGGGCTCTACCCCCGGATGAAAGCTGTCCTTTCGGTCTCATACGGTTGACTCATCTAAAGAGTGTGTTCCTCTCTGATGTTACTGGGCACCTTACAAGCCTGTCTATTGTTTGACTTAAGGTTGACCGCACAAGGGAATTTAGTTCCAGGCTGAAAGGGTGACTAAGGCTGTGTTCCTGACCATGTCCCACTGGACCAGGTGTGGAGGATAGTGGGACAGTGGGGCAGTAGGGAGGTTTTGTACTGGAAGATGATCAGAATGTTACAGGTAAGTGGGTGGAGCCTGCGAGACATGTGCAGCCAGGCGCACTCCCCCAGTGTGTTGGGAAGAAGTGAGGGATGGAGAGGAACCCCAGAGGTGAGCACAGTTCACAAGGAGAGTTTCCAGAGAAAGACAACAGGGCCTAGCGAGGCTCAGAGTCAGAGAGCACAACACACCTGCCGCCATGACAGAAGTAGAGGGCAGACCACAGAGGCCTTGGGAGGCCCAGGGGGCCACTCGGATGTCACCCTCGAGGCCTCTGGAGAATCTCAAGCAGAGAGTGAGACGGTCAGCTGTGGAAGCCCATTCTTGATGGGACTTGGGGTCAATGGCAGGTAAGACTGTGCTCTGGTCATTCCACTTGTGCAGTCCCACAGGGCCCTGTGCACCCTCACCCCTGTCTTGAAATTCTTAATTATCTTTGAACAAGGGACCTCACATTCCCACTGTACCCTGGGCCCCCACATTCCCACTGTACCCTGGGCCCCACATGCTAGATGGCTGTCCATCCTGGTGGCATCTGGTCCTTGAAGCTGTGGCTGACCAGGGAGTATATGGAGAATAAGCCGGAAAATGCAAACATGAGCTGAAGCCTTTAGATCAAGGACAAGAAGAAGAAACTAAAAATAGCAGTAGACAGGGAAGGTGGACATCCAGGAAAACCTGGTGTCATGTCACCCAAGGGAAGAAAATCGTCCCAGAAAGATGTTGAAAGGCACTGCCCGAGCAAACCAAACTGTGCCTGAGAGAGGTGGTGCTTCAGAGGACAGCAGGGACTTAGGCCAGGAGGTCAGTGGGGACCTCGGCCAGAGCAGTTCAGTCCGGAAGTGGGGAAAGTGGGCAGATGTCCGAGACTGAGGAGGGAGATGGCAAGGAGGACGCAGAGAGATGGATCATCGCGGTTTGGTGCCTCAGGTCCATCTTGATGAGATAGAGGAGGAAGACGGAGAGGTGGCATCGTTGCCATCCAGTGCCCCAGCTCGATTACCGTTGAAATTCTGAGAGCAAATTAAGGGAAGAGCGGTCTTCAAGATGAGAGATGTTGAAATGAGGATCGAAGGATCCAGCTGGAAGGAAGATTAAAGCTTTTGGGGGGAGGGATGGTGGATGGAGTGATGTCACTGGAAAGTAAGAACTGATGGAAGGGAGCGTGTAGAGACCAGCTCTACAACAGGTCCGAGAGTGAGGAATCAGAAAGACTTAAGAAATGAAAGACGTAGAATAGTTGGGAAGCAAGGGATGATAGACTCGAGAATCTTACATGATTTTTTAATCAGCACAAGCAAAGCTTTTAAACAAAATCTTCAAATGATTAACAATATGTCATTAAACAGATGGTAGCAGTTATAGCTGGGAGTATAAATATTTCCTCAAGAGCTTTCTCCTGGTATAAACATTTACCTGCAGATCACAAGGGGCATGTCCCCATTGTTTACTCAGAGTCTTATTGTAAAGGCTTTGTTCCAGCAAGTTGGCAGGTTTTCTTGTTACCAAAACTGTTATCAACCTACCTGCAGGTTTTCCAGTTACCGGGATGCCCAAGTGGTCTAAGGCACCCCCCTCTGTTTGTAAGTTAACTATGTCTTAGCTCAACCACTGGTCACATTCTCTTTTAACTCCACAGTAGGGAAGGTCACTTAATTATGTGCAGAATGGGTACCATTTTCGTTCAGAGAAGGAGAGATGGTGGGAATGAGGGAGGGATGTAGTTGAGGGACATACCAGTGAGCTCGGTGGACCTCATCCCCTGACCTTAAGCCTCCCCATCCCCTCACCCTCATATCATCTCGGTCCACAGGGCCCTGAGTGTCCAGTTCATGGTGTGGTCAGGCCATGCTATACTCCCTTAGTCACCTCTTGGTGGTGCAGTGATACATGTACTGTGTAAGTGGCTTACTTGTGCCTTGGTGTCTTGTTTCCACTGCTGTCCTGACAGAAATACCACAGGTGGGTGGCTTTAACAAACAGAAGTGTATTTCAGGGAGCTCTGGTGGCCTAGTGGCAAGAAGCTGCACTCAATCCCAGAGGTGTGTGGTTCAAATCCACCAGATGCTGTGCTGGAGAGGGAGGGGCAATCTCCTCCTCTACTGGTAAGAATATGATTTGATGGTACACACACAAAAAAAAAGAAGTGTATTTCCTCACAGTTTAGGAGACTGTTGTTGTTGTTGTTGATTGTCGTTGAGTCGAAGTTGACTCATCGTGACTCCATGAACTGAAGATGCCTTTCCACAGCTATCGTTGTTTCTCCAAGTTCATAGACTTTCCAGAGGCATGTGTTTTAGGGAGCAGATGCCATTCCTGCTTCCCAACCTATTTCACAACTGGAAGCTCCACCAAACACTGTCCATAGCAGAGACTAGAAGTCTGAATTCAGAGTGCCAGCTTCAGGGGAAGGGTCCTCAGCCCACTCTGGGAGGAGATCCTTGTGTATCTAGCTTCTCTTCTCTGGTCCTTGGCAATCCACCCCTTCCTCATGTGTGTCACTCTCTCTACCTGTTGTTGGCTGAGGGTATAGAATAAAGAATTAAATGGGACACCAAGAATGGAGGGGAAAACAGAGAGCGTAAAGCAGGGGGCAAACAGCTCCAAAAACTGAAGCTCCAAACCCAGCTTTCCTATGTCATTATTAAAAATTGCTAGAGAGCAAATCACAAAGAGAATTCTATGCAAATGAAGCTAAGCTCTTTCTATTGAAAACCTTATGCTTGACTCAGGGGGGAGGGGTTAGCAAATACAATCCAAGAATTGTGAAACCGCTTAAGGTCTGCTTTGGTGCTTAACCCCTGTGACCTGTCTCAGGGGGAATTGCAGCTTGTGTCTGCACCTCCCTCATATCCTGATACAGCATTTGGTTTATCATTAATAGTTTGAAGTTTGGCTTCCCACATCTACCCAATCAGCTCTTCTTATTGCTCAAAGGTGACTAACAGGCTTACAACACTCCCTGCACTGTTAGAGCCTCGTTAACACGACAAAGGAAACCCTATTCCCAAATCAGATTATATCCACACGTATACAGAGCCAGTGCCAACTCATAGTGACCTTATGAGACATAGCAGAGCGCCCCACAACGTTTCCAAGGCTGTGACATTTTTATGGGAGCAGAGTGTCATGTGTTGCTTCTGCAGAGAGGAAAGGCTATTGGGTTTGAACCTGTGACTTTTCGGTTATCAGTTAAGTGTTTAACCTCTGCTCGCCCAGGGCTGCTTTTCCACAAGGGCAAGATTTTTAACACACCATTTGGGAAGACATAATTCAGTCCATAGCATGCAGTTGGCCCTTCAGAGTGTGCACTTACCCTGCACAGGGGCCCAGAAAGCTTGATGGTTCAAGCCCCACACCTCTCTACAGCAAACAGATGAGGCCATCTGCGTCTGTAAGGTCCCTGCCGTGGAAAATTCATGGTGCAGTCTGTCTGTCTTGCAGGGTTTCTATGAGTCAGTCCAATCAACAGCAGTGGATTTCATCTTTAGGGAAGCACCAGCTCTTTCTCCCGTCACTGGGTGGATTAGAACCACCAGCTTTTGAGTTAGCAGCTGATGGTTCTACCCTTTGTGCCACCAGGCATATATACTGGTGTCATTATCAATGTCAATTGCTTAGATGCTTTTTTGGTTTTACTTCCTGCCTCTTTGCTGGGCTTTCCTGCCAGCTGTCCAGTAATTGAGCTCGAGGTCACGTGTCTCCCAATGTGTCATCGTGTCCGGACACTGTTATTTTACCTCCCCTCAGCCCTGCTGTGCGTCTTCATAGGCACGTCCCCCTTATTCCTCCAGATGTCACAGGGAAACCCTCTTTCTAACCCCTGGCCTGGTTCTCTGCCCTCCAGCCAGTATCCAGCCGCAGAGGTGGTCAACTTCGGGACGTGGTTCCTCTTCAGCTTCCCCATCTCGCTCATCACGCTGGTGGTCAGCTGGTTCTGGATGCACTGGCTGTTTCTGGGCTGCAAGTAAGTCCCGACTCAGTGAGGGATAAGCAAGAGGACATGCAGGTGTGTAGTGACCTCGGGGGACTCTCCTCCAAGAACATCTGCCACTGATGCAGTGCACTGAACTGGACAGGGCTGGATGGGAGCTGGCCTCTCAGGGTCATCACTCTAGCCATCCGTGAACTTGACTCTTCCCTGCAAACTCTCCACTGAAAAGCTACACTCAATTCAACTTCAGTTACTGTTGTATACAGTCAGGTCAGAATCAACTCATAGCTGACCTTCCAGCAGGTTTTCAGAGGCTGTAAATCACATGGGAGGAGATTGCCCATCCTGCTCTCACTGAGCAGCTGGTGGATTTGAACCTTGTACCTTTGGGTTGGCAGCTCAATTCCTTACCACCAAGCCACCAGAGCTCATTAATTAGAGGACCAGTTTCAAAAAAAGTCTACATTGGAGCATAATTAGTGCTCTTTCATTTATAAAGGTCGTGTGCACAGTGAGGTGGAGCGGCAGAGGGCGGGCGTGGAGAGGGAAGTGGTCTCAGGCAGCAGAGTTTATCACTTCAGTAGCGTCTGATCTCCTCCAGGCCTCAGAAGGCGCTCTCTTACCTCCTGTGCTCATTCTCCCTTCCCAGTTTTAAAGAGACCTGCTCTCTGAGCAAGAAGAAGAAGACCAGGCGGGAAGAGCTGTCGGAGAAGAGGATCCAGGCGGAGTACGAGAAGCTGGGTGACATCAGGTAGGACCACCACTCGGCTGCCCTCCCGGGCGAGGCAGGCCCCGCCTGGTGCTGGATGGCCTCAGGAAGGTCATCTTCCACAGACGGGAGCCCAGCATTCAGAGGGTGCTGGCGAATGCCAGGGTCGGCCCAGGCTGGATCTCGGGGGCTGCCCTTCCTACGCTGGTTCCTTCTCTGGTCCATTCTGAGTGGGTGAAGGGGGCAGCTTCTGCACCAGCGTGGAATGTGCTGGGCTCTTTCATGAGACAAGACCTCCCGCGTAACCCCCTATCACTCACCAGTCCTCAGCCATTCCGGTCAGCTGGTCCACAGTGACCCAGAACCCTGTCCAGTGTTGTCATTGTTGTTGTGAACTGTCACGTCAGAACCAACTCACAGCTGACCCTCTAGAAGGTTTTCAGAGGCAACTGTCCACCTTTCTCCTTTGGAGCAGCTGATGGATTCAAACCTCGTGCCTTTGGGTTGGCAGCACTACTCCTTACCACTGAACCACCACCAGAGCTCCCTCCCACCTAGGGCAGTTTTCCTTTTCTGGAAGTCGATGGAGCCTGAGGTGGTGTGACCGGTTAGCACTCTTGGTCCTCAGCCCAAAGGTTACCGGTTTGAGTCTACTCAGAGGCTCCGCAGAAGAAAAGACCTGGTTTTCAAAATCAGCCACGGGAACCCTGTGGAGCGAGGCTCTACTCTGACGCACACGGGGCACCATGAGTCCATTTGGTGGGTGGGCACCTGCTTACTGCTTTCTTCCAGCAGCTGGCCTGGGCAGCTTTCACTGATAAAGGGTCCAGGCATTAAGTGTATTTGTACCTTTCTAGTGATAGGAATACACATCCATTGTAGAAAAGCAGAAGTAAGACCACGGGTTACCTGTACTGCTAGCATCCCAGCGCAGCCTGCAAACTTTAGCATGATGTGCTGCCTGTCCACGGTTTTGGGCACAATTGTACACATTTTATACAATTCCGTCCATGCTGAACATGGTTTTATATCTCCCCCTTTTCACTTAGCATGATCCCTATGGCCCTGGGCCCTTGTTTCTTCCTTGGAAACATACTTATCGCTGGATGCACCCATTTCAACATACAGGCACACTTCACTTTATCATGCATCACAGATGCGCATTTTTTAACAAATTGGAGGCTTGTGCTGGCCCTTGTTGGACAAGTCTACGGCACCCCCGTCCCCAGCACACACTGGCTTCCTGTCTCTCTGACACTCTGCTCATTCTCACAACCTTGCACGCTTTTCCCTCATGTTGTTTGCACACTTAGTAGACTATCATCTCGCGTTGACATGTAAGATGCTCTGGTGGCCCGGTGTGTTTTGTGTCATGCTGCTGAGTGAAAGGTCAGCGGTTCAAATCCACCACAGCTCCATGGAGAAAGGCAGAAGCCCTGTGGGGGTGCAGTGAGTCAGCATCAACTCAGCAGCAGGAGATAGGATGTCAGCCTCACTGTCAGGCACCTGAGAAGGAAGGAATCCACGTGCTCTCTTCACTCCCATGTGGGCTTTGTGGGGTGCTGGAACTGAGCCTGCAGTCTGTCCAAGGGTGGCCTGGACTCCTGGACTCAGCCCTGGGGAATGTCACCGACATCGAGGCCTCCTCATCGTTCATGAGGGAAGCACTGTGCGCTCTCCTGGCTGTGTCCTGGTGCCACATGGTGACGTTCTCCAGGCTCCAGGGCCTGCAGTTAGACGGCCTCACCGGGGCCACCCCAAGCCCAGCATTGGCAGGTGCCCACCTCATTCCCACATTTAGGATCACTTTCCACACACATAGTGCTGTATCCGTGTCACACACACACACACACACACACACACACACACACACACACTCCTTCTCCCCTGGCCGTGGCCACTGCACTGTGTCCGCAGCACAATATCAGTCCTCTTCACTGGAACCTTCTGTGAAGGTCACCCACAGTGTCAGAGCAGGGACAGTGAGTCACATCTGCACCCAAGTGCCTGGCACCCCGCGAGGCAAAGAGGAAAGGCCCAGAGGCCCTAATGCTGGAGGGTGTCTCTGTTCCCCCCAGCTACCCTGAGATGGTGACCGGCTTCTTCTTTGTCCTGATGACCGTGCTGTGGTTCACCCGGGAGCCCGGCTTCGTCCCCGGCTGGGATTCCTTCTTTGAGAAGTAAGTCCTGTCAGGAGCGAGCTCCTCACTCACGTCCTTCAGGGGACAGCCTGTGTCCCTTCACGGACATCAGAAGCCGGTGGATACTCGGGCCTTCCAAAAGGCCACTCGGAGGGAAGCTACAGACTGGGAAAGGGGGTGTCAGTGCCTCACTTTGTATGTGAGAGACTTGGATTTGATTCCCGGCCGGTGTGGTCATACACAGCCTCCCATCTGTCAGGGAGGCTTGTGGGTCACACTAAGACCAGGAAGAAGGACCTGGCATCTGCTCTGAAAACCCGGTGGGTCAGATCTGGGAGGGACCATGGGAGAGTGCAGGGCTGGGCGGCATCTCCTTCGTTGTTCCTGGTCACTATGTGCCGCCCCCTGGCTACCTGCCAGTGCCCACAGTCACCAGAGCTGCCCTTAGACCTGACCACTCCCATCCAGCTCTGCATGGGGAGCTGGTGGCCATGGGGGGGAGAATGTGTCACCTCTAGACGAGGTCCTAGAGAGAAGCACCGGCCACGCTGGCTGCCTACGTCCCAGGTAGGGCCCCCTGAGCACCCTCCTCCGCCTCTCGTGGCCAGGAAGGGCTACCGCACCGACGCCACGGTCTCCGTCTTCCTCGGCTTCCTGCTCTTCCTGATCCCAGCCCGGAAGCCAAGCTTCAGGAAGAAGGATAACGGTGAGAACAGGTTCAGGGGTCCCCAACTCGAGGTCTCTGAAGGACTCCGACCCCAGGAACCCAGTGGTCTCCCCAGGGTCCAGCTGTCCCCTAAGTCCTGGGGTCACATGACATGTATCTATCTGTCTACCTGTGACCAGGGAACCCTGAGGGGCACTCACTGAGCCCAGAGCCCATCATCACGTGGAAGGACTTCCAGAAGACCATGCCCTGGGAGATTGTCATCCTGGTGGGCGGGGGCTACGCCCTGGCTTCAGGCAGCAAGGTACCCTGTGTTCTGTTGCTCTGGGGCCCCGTCTTTGCCAGCAGCTTCCTTGACAAGTCTTTAAAATCTCAGCAGGAGAGGGCAGAGACTCTGAGTGGGGAAAATTCTCCAGAGGACCAGGAAGGAAGTGGGCCTGCAGGATAGGGCCCAAGGAAGCCACCCTGCCGGCCCCAGGGCAAGAGAGGGCCCACCACCCATCCCCCCACAGGAGGGGGTCCATCACCAAGCCCCAGGCCAAGAGGGGGCCCACCACCCAGCACTGGGGAAAGAGGGGGCCCACCAAACTAGCCTCAGGGCAGGAGGGGCCCACCACCCATCCCCCCACAGGAGGGGGTCCATCACCAAGGCCCAGGCCAGGAGCGGGCCCACCACCCAGCCCCAGGGCAATAAGGGGCCCACCACCCAGCCCCATCAGCTATTCCTCCCCAACTGTCCCATGAGCGAAGTCTAATATACACTCACTCATTGTGTTGAGTCAGCCCAGAGCTGACCCTCCGGTGGGTTTCAGAGGCAGTAAATCACATGGGAAGAGAGTGCATCCTTTTTCCACGGAGCAGCTGGTGGATTCGAACCACCAGAGATGTGCAGCCTGTGTGTTAGCGGCACCAGAGCCCCCTTCTATGATTCACATACTATAGGCCTGGACTCTGTGTTGACCTTAAGTCAGCGCCCGTCTCCAGTGTCTGGCATCTCACTGCCCACTGAGCCGGGGAGACCCACGTCCTCCATAGTGTCACGTGCCACCTTCAACCCCGTTTCTGAAACCTACTTCTCTTAGCACCAAGAAAACACAAACCCTCCCAGCACCTTTGGCCACAGCCTTTCCTGTGTCTGGAGGGTAGTGAGTGGGCAGGACTGGACACTGGCAGCTTTACAAGAGCTATGAACATGTGAGAGATTAAAGCCCCCCTCACCCTGCCAGGCTGACCACATCCTAGGAAAGACCCCAGAGCTGGGAGGGGGTGACCGAGCAAGAAAGCCGAAGACCAGCTTTACAGTCCTAGAATGTTCTGGGCTGTCAGAATGACCTCATCATACAGTAGGGAGGCGCAGTGGGGGCCAGGGACACGACTCAGCTGGTCCCTGGGCTCCTTCCGGCTGCCACCCGCTCCAGTCTGAGAACTGTGCAGTGGACGGTCCCCACCTTGTCACGTCCTCTGTCGCGCAGAGCTCCGGCCTATCCTCCTGGATCGGCCATCAGATGCTGTCCCTGAGCAGCCTCCCCCCGTGGGCCATCACCCTGCTGGCCTGCATCCTGGTGTCCATTGTCACCGAGTTCGTGAGCAACCCGGCCACCATCACCATCTTCCTGCCCATCCTGTGCAGCCTGGTGAGTGTGTGGCCCGCGGCTGGCCTCCCTCATACCGACTGGTGCTCCCGCTGCTGTCAGAAACGAAGCTTCGCTGGGGCCGGCAGTAAATACATAACCACGTTCTCATCAGAGCAACAGTTCTGCACACCTTTTCCCAAAGACTAGGCGTGGGTTAGGGGCATTGAAACACACCCATCATCTCCAACAAGGACTCCCGAGGCACTGGACACAAAAGACATGAATGAGGGGCCCTTACAGCCCCAGGGCCCCACCTGCCCACCGTCAGCCTCCACCCCTCCCTCCTAAGACCCAGCGGGGGGCTGAGGATGTAACCTCAAGAAAGGGAGGCAAAATGCTCCCCAAAGCACATGCGATGGCAGAGATCAGCTGTCACTGTCACCTGCAACCAGTGTCACTGGCCAGGGGATTCTGAGTCTCTGGAGCAGAGGCTCCCCGTGCCATGGCCAACAGCACAGCTACTGCTGGGAAATGGGGGGGAAGAACCTCTAGCACTTGGGGTGCAGGCAGTAACAAACAGAAATGTGTTCTCTTGAGGTCTGTTGTTGTTATTGTTGCTGTTGCTGTTGTTATGTGCCATCAGGTTTCCTGAGACTCATAGCGACCCTATGTACAACAACCCTAAACCCTGCCCTATCCTGTGCTCAGTGGTGTGAGGTTGGGAGCTCAGCCAGTTAACATGTGGTCTCTTGAGGATGAGACCATGTTCCAATAATTACTTTTCCAAGAACACATAAGCTCTGCGCCCCAAAGAGAGGGGACCCAGCTTCCATCAAGTTCTGACGCATAAGAGTTCTGTCTGAAGAAGGGATTTCTCAGCTCCAGGATAAAGTTTTGAAAACCAGCACCCAGATATGAAACACCCATCCAGGAGGTGACTAGAGAGCACAGCTCGCCCACTGGGGTCACCCTGGAGGGCCAGCCACGCCAACGCAGCTCTGAAGCATGTGTGTGGTGTGAGCCCAGGGCTCACATCCCCAGGTGGCCTCTTATCTCACTCCTGTGTAGGGACCCGACGGCCCAGCACACATGCCCGGGGAGGGCCAGCCATGCCGAGGCTTCTTTGAAGTGTGTGCGTATGCGTGTGTGTGCGTGTTCACCTCCCCACTGTGGCCTCAGCCTCACACCCGTGTGTTCTCTCTCTGCTCCCTCCTCAGTCAGAGACACTGCACATTAACCCGCTCTATACCCTGATCCCTGTCACCATGTGCATCTCCTTTGCCGTGATGCTGCCCGTGGGCAACCCCCCCAATGCCATCGTCTACAGCTACGGGCACTGCCAGATCAAGGACATGGTGAGTTGGCATTCTCCTCTGCCCAGCCCCCTCTGCAAGCTGCTGCTTGATAGTAGTGCCTTGGTCTGGTGTGGTAGAATGAAACGTTGCTCGGTTGCCAACCAAAAGTTCAGTGGTTCAAATCCACCAGCCACTTTGTGGAGAAAGATGAGGCCGTCTGTTCCCATAAGGAACATAAAGTTTCCATACAGTCCTGTCACGTAGGGTCACTAGGAGTTGGTGGTCGGTGAGGCTCAGGAATAGCGATGGCCTGCCCTCCCCAGCCTTTGTCTGGAGAAAGTCTGAGTGGATCCCCGTGGCTGAGCTCAGTGTGTGCCCCACCCAGAGGTCCTCCTGTACGAGGTAGCTGTTGTGGGGGCAGCTACATCAGCTGACTCCCTGGGACTCACAGGACTGATCGGTCGCGTCTCCCAATCGTTACAGCAGGCTGCCATATCTCCTTCTCAGCAGTTGGTGGGGTCGAACCACTGCCCAACCAAGCAGTTAATCACTGTCCCACCAGGCTCCTTTCATGTAAGACGGTTATTGCTGTTAGGTGCCATCGAGTCAACTCCGACTCTTAGTGACCCCGGTTCCGACACAGAAACCACGCCTGACGCTGGGCCATCGGCAGTCTCCACTGTGCGTAAGCCCATTGTGAGTTCACGTAAGATCAGCACTCACTCACCCAGCAGCACTGACTCCTAGCACCGACCCTCTGGCAGGTTTTCAGAGGCCGTAAAGCAGCAGCTGGGAGATTGCCCAGCTTTCCTCCTCCTGCTGGTGGGTTAGACACCTGTGGGTTTGCAGGAATCTCCTCACCAGCCCATTAAAGGCTCTGCCGAGCTCCTGCTGTAAGGAGACCTGGTGAGATGCGCCTCCCATGTTCCCTGCAACTTCCTCCAGAACCTTTGTGGGGGCCCTTGGCGTCGCAAATTACGTGAAACTTCCTCTCACACGTTAGTAGGAGGAACTAGTCCCTAGAGAGCACTGCAGTTGGTAAAGTAATGGGCCAGAGACAAAGGAAGAGGGTCCACATGATGAACTGGCACAGGAGTGGTACTTGAGCACAGCAGAGATTGTGAGGATAGCACAGGGCCAGCCAGGCTTGGTCCTGTCCCACGTGGAACCACAGTGTCCCAGGGCCGATGTGATGGCCACCTAACACCAACAACTTTCCTTGGATCCAGTGTTCCAAGCCACAGACACAGGCCTCCCTGTGCAGTGAGAAGGACACGGAGAGGAGGCCAGTCCTTCAAACCCAGGCTCCCAGCATCCTTTGCCAGGTGCAAGGCACACTAGAGCCCCCAGGCAGGGACTGGACAAGCCAGGGCAGCAGGCAGGCCATGGACAAAGCTGGGTGAGGTCCAGACGGAGCCACATGGGGCCTGTGTCGCTGTCTAAGGGCGGTGACTGGCATGTGCTGATGTGTCCACAGGTGAAAGCTGGCCTGGGCATCAATGTCATTGGCCTGGTGATTGTGATGGTGGCCATCAACACTTGGGGCGTCAGCCTCTTCCACCTGGACGCTTTCCCGGCCTGGGCTCAGGTCAGTAACGTCACGGACCAGGCCTAGCAGAGCTGCAGCCCTTCTCAGCCAGAGCGGCTCCCCTCCCCCAGCAGGGCCTGGCCCACGGCTCAGAGCCAGCGGGAGCGTGGCCACGAAGCCAGAGGCCTCCACCCTGGCGACTCGCAGAGACCCTTCAGTGGCTGCACCACCTGGGACCGCAGTGTCTTCTTCCTGGCCCCCTCATCCTCAGCACCTCACAGGAAAGCCTCCACAGATCCCCGGCTCTGATTTATCTCCCGTGGAGGAAACCAGAGTGTTAGCTCTCCCCCGAGGTGCAGCCTCACAGGACCCACCCCCCCCCCCCCCCGTGTCTCCCTGAACCAGCCCCACCCCATTGTGGCCAAGTCGGGGACCTGAAGTGTCAGAGTTGAACCTCCCACAGGGCTTGCTTTTTGGAGAAGAGCCGTGGTGGCACAGTGGATTCAGGGTTGAGCTATTAACCACAAGGTCAGCCGTTTGAACCCACTAGCCGTACTGCAGGGAAAAGATCAGGCCCTCTGGTCCTACGAAGGTTTACAGCCTTGGAAACCCAATGGAACAGGCAGTTCAGCCCTGTCCTGTCGGACCCTGATGCGTTGCCACAGACTCGACAGCTGTGAGTGTTTGAGGTTTGGAATCTTTTATTGAAGCAAATCGTCAGGCCTTTCTCCCATGAAGATGCTGGCTGGATTCGAACTACCAACTTTCTTAGTGTAGGAGTCAAGGGTAAGCCGTTGGTGCACCAAACCCAGGGACACACCAGCCTCTCTGGATTGTGTTGACACCTTTCTAGATGTTGGAGGAGGAATCCCCAGCACCCCACGCAGGCATGGACTGCAGCCAGTGCCGGCTTCCCTCTGGAGGGTCCTCATCCAGAACCCGGGACCCCACGTCTGCACCTTGCTCCAAGAGGTCACCCCAGAAGCCAGCCCGGCGGGACTCCGACAGTCAGTTCTCCTTGGTCCCCACTGGGTGCCCTTGAAGCATTTCTTCAGTGACCTCCTTGAACTGGCAGTGGGTGAACGGAGTGATTCCAGTAAGAAATACTTTTCCCCTTTGGAGAGAGGCCGGTGGAGGTCTCTGTGTCAGAGAAGGAGGACTCTTTGATGTGCATCCCTCTCTTATAACACACCACAAACAGCACTGTCCCTGCTGAATGCTAGGGCAGTGCCCCACTTGTCTTGGTGTGGAGGACTAACTCAACTGAAGGTGCCCCAACATCCCTGAAGGCGCCTGGCATCCCTGGAGGTGCCCAGACATCCCTGGAGGCGCCCGGCATCCCTGGAGGTGCCCCGACATCCCTGGAGGCACCTGGCATCCCTGGAGGAGCCCTGGCATCCCTGGAGGCGCCCGGCATCCCTGGAGGTGCCCCGACATCCCTGGAGGCACCTGGCATCCCTGGAGGCGCCCTGGCATCCCTGGAGGCGCCCTGGCATCCCTGGAGGCGCCCGGCATCCCTGGAGGCACCCAGCATCCCGGGAGGCACCCAGGTATCACTGGAGGTGCCCGGCATCACAGGTGAAGGGCTGGAGGTGCAAACCCACCAGCTGCTTCTAGGGCGTCTCCCCCATTAACACGTGCAGCCTCGGAAACCCAGAGGGTCCCAGGAGTCAGGACTGACCGAGAGCAGTGGGGTTTAACTCGAATTAAGGCCTTGGCAGCTGCCATCATCAAAAGCTTTCCTCTGGAAACAATGAGCAGCTTATGTCAGGAAGATAAGCGGCAGGTACAGAAAGGCCCCAGCAAGTCCGTAACGGCCTGTCCATCGAGGGGTCCTTTGAGGAGAGGAAGGTGTCTGTACCTCTTAAAGTCGTCTCCCATCAACCTACACAGTGTGTTCAACTGTGAGTGCTCCATAAACGTACGCGGGAGCACAGTGCTCCAGAAATCTGGAACACCCCCCCTTCCTCCTGGAGACCCGGCCGGACATGCTCCATGGCCGGACCCAGCACCCATCCGTCCAGCTCGCTTGTTTCTACCATCATACATCTTACAGGAAACGCACCGCCAAATTCATCTGACAGGAAAAGGGGCCCTGTAGCACTGTTCACTGGTTTTAATTTACTGTTATTAGATATGTGTGACTTCCCGTAATAATTTATCAGTAAAATCACTCAGTGTATCAAGTGCCTGTGAGTCATGGGTTCTTTGGTGCCACTTGACACATGTGCGTTCAATTAACCAGGGGCCGGTATTGCTTCTGATTGAGGGCGGCCAAGGAGATGGCCACCATGAACGTGAAGGGTCAGGAGCCCAGGGAGAGGCTGGTAACTGAGAGATTACTGAAGTGCACGTTCAGGGATCTGTAGTTCTAGGACCATCTTCCTTTTCAGTGTCAGAATCAGGTGCTACTTTTTTTTTTTTGTCAGGGCAGCAATCAAGTTCACCATCTACATACATTATAGAACTTGGGCCCTCAGCCCTACATCAGACACAAAGACAAAGGTGCAGATAATCCATGTGGTGTTGGGGACTTAGGTACAGAGGAAGATATGTGGCCTGGAGTCGCTGCCCTCCTCAGCTCCGACAGCCTCACTCCTCCCAGCACAAGGCAGTACAGCTCTGTCCCTACCTGCTGCCAGGAGCTCACAGTCCCTGGTGCCCCATGTGCTGCCTGGCCTCCTGCCTGAGAGCCTGGCGGGCAGTGCTGCATGTCCCCAGAGCCAGAGGTCCAGGCCAGACAGTGTCACCCACTCATCGCAGGGAGGGCCACGTCTGACTCACGGCTCCTCAGCTGAACCCTCTACTGCTAGGGTGTAACTCCTGGCACTTAAAAAAAAAATAAAATTTGCTGTTGCTGCTGAGAACAGCATATACACAGCAAGACATCCACCAACTCAAGTCCCCCCATGTCCCATCCAGTGACACAGTGACACTGCTGACAGTCTTCCTGTTGTGAACCAGGCTCGCTCTCCTTTTTGGAGTTGTTCTCTCCCATGAACATCCTCAGTGGTTCTCTAGGGTTCCTGTCTTTCCAGTTGCTACTGTCCCAGAGCGAGAGCTCCGGTGACCCAGTGGTAAGTAGCTGCACTGCAGTCCTGAAGGTCGCGGCTCGAAACCACCAGCCCTCTGCTGTGTAGGAGAAGGATAGACAATCTCCTTCCGTGCAATTTGCTGCCTCTGAAAATCTGTTGGAAGATCAGCTGTGGATTGGTTCTGACTCAACAGGACACACCAGTAAATGTCTCGTACAGCTGTGTTTGAAGAGCAGAGTGCTCAGGGAAACGTTTTCCACTCGTTTAACTAACTTGGAGATAATCCTGGTTTAAAGACTGAGGGCAATAATTTTGGAATTTATCCAATTTTCATGGCTCCAGAAAACTCTAGGGTCTGAGAATTTGAAACTGTGTTCGGCATTTTCCCCCTTCTGATCAGGACTCTTCTAAAGTTCTTTGATCAAAATGTTGAGTAATAGTCGCTGGATGTTGTCCACTTCTGGGCTTCTGGCAAAGGAAGCAGCTACAGGTGTTCAGGAGGCGATGAACACGTCTCATAGGACCCCCCTTCCTGTCTTGCAGGTATACACAGAACAAGTGTCATGCACTGGGTGGCCACCTGAAAGGTGCCAAGACCCCAGATGTTACGCAATGAACAGAAAAGGAGAACAGGGGCCTAGCACAGGTTATTGATTAACGGGGATGTCTGAGGAGACCAGGACCCTATACTTCCAAACCGAGAAACCAAATCCCATAAGGTTTTTGGTTGTACTAAGTAGTCTCAACAGTTACTCTAACACACACACATACGCACATACATACATACATACATACATACATACATACATATCCAGGATTCCAGGATGGCTTTTTCACTATTCCAAGAGGGAGAGGAAGCTCCTGGAGTTCAGCTCAGGGGAGCTCCCCAGCTGTGTACTGACGCACAACTTCACCATAAGAGCCATTGTGGAAGCATCCCAGCGAGGTGACCACTGGGTCTATGACAAGTACGTCAACATGAAGAAGGGAGGACGCGTCCCTCGGTTGTTGATGGTGCTGACAGCTCACGTGGTGTTCAGCTACTGCCTTTCTTACAAGGAGCTCAAACATGAACCGTTACATAAGTATCATCAAGAGGTGCTGTCTCAGGGAGCTCTGGTGGCCTAGTGGCAAGAAGCTGCACTGCAATCCCAGAGGCGCGCGGTTCAAATCCACCAGATGCTCTGCTGAAGAAGGAGGGGAAATCTCCTCCTGTACCAGTCAGATACGATTTGATGGTACACACACACACACAAAGTTGATTCTCCACATAAAAAAAAAGAGGTGCTGTCTCCATTCCTGCATTCCTGGCCGGGGCCTTTGTCTTGACACCCTTCCCCACTTGAAGAACAGTCCTTTGTCACCTAAGTAAAAAAACTCTGTCCAATAAAAGATGATAATAAAAACAAAAACCACAATAAACTAAACCATTGTGAATGGAATCTAAAGAAAACTTTTTTCCCCTTCAGCAATTCATGTGAATTAAGCTTTCTAACTCTGAAAGCAACTCTTTTTGCTGTTGTTGTAAATATCACACAACTTTGATGAATTCAGATTTTCACCTAATTGACAGGAATGGTGGTCACTGGCTGTGCAAGGCAATGCTGCGTAACGAGTCTCTTATTGTTGTGCGCTGTCCAGTAAGAACTCACCCACAGCTGACTCTCCAGCGGGTTTTCAGAGCCAGTTAATGGCATGGGAGTCTTGCCATCCGTCTGCAGAGCAGCTGGTGGATTCGAACCATGTACCTTTGGGATGGCAGCACAGCACTAGCACTCCTAATAGTACTGTATGACCTGCAAATGCATGCCACCTGACTGCTGCCTTCTGAGAGTGTAACGCTATTAATGTGGAGCTGATGACCCCCCAACAGCTCACCGAACACGAGGGGACAGCCAGAGACAGACTGCCCACTTTCTCTGAGTCAATGTCACACTTGCACGGTCCACGCTGCCTTAGTTTCTGGCTTAAATCAATCATTAGAACGTCGTCTGTAATCTTTACATCCATGTGTCCCATAATAAACCTTTTAATAAGTAGTAGCTCATTTGC